CCTTCTGGTAAGTTTCGGTAGTACCCATAATCAAAATTCACTGGGGTATATGAGATGCAAGCACGCACTGGAATGCGTGTTATTGTGTGATACATCATCAATATATCTGAAAATGAGATTGATTAACTTTGCAAGATGTTTTTCGTTTTGTCTTTGAGAAGATTATGTATGATTTTTGCTACATATGAGTACAAAACAAGTCAGCAGTAGGGGTACACAATTAGTACCCATTGGAATGCCGACAGTATGTTGAAAATATCAATCCACCAAACTCAACAAATATGTTGTCGACAAAAAAACTCAGCATTTTTAAGATGTCATCTTCGGTGTGGTTCTTCGCAAAGCAAGATTTTTTATGACCTGAAAAGGAAAGTGTATCTGCGATTCCCTTTTTTGTAGAAAAAGCTCTGTTGTGTGAGTCTATCTTTCAATTGACAATGGGTAATAGAAGTGTATATAAAAAATGTTTTTTGTATATTACTACTAAATCGAAAAGATAGCGATTTAGTTATTTCTAATTTTATGAATCCACATCACCACTAAATCAGATACCTCATCACAATATTTCTGAAAGCCATCTTTTTACTGTATAAATCTCCTCTTTTGTGAATGATGTAGGGGTTTATGTGGGATAAACCAGGATCTTCGTCAGTTAGCTCTTGCAAGAGTCGTAGGAACAAATTTTTAATACTCAGTCTTAAACAGCCACACAAAACGATTAACGACATGGTCTACATTGTAACTTGCAAGACACTAAATTAAAATTAAAGTTAAAAAGTTATGGATGTTGCATCAGATGATAACATAAAGGAAATGAAATAAGTGCATGCTCCTATCGTGTAACCGTCTATGATGACTTTTTAAAAGGGACCAGCGTTTATAAATATTGACTTTAAAATTTTCTCCAACTTTTCCACAATCAATTGATACAAAATATATTCAACTCTCAAGATTACAGAAAGCTTTAGTCTATCTTTCATCAAACTGTGTTTCTGTATAATGTTCAGTATTCAATTTATTGACAATTAGTATTGCTGCGAGATATTTGGTCGTCTTTTGGGGATTTATTTTCAGCTGTTTTGAATCGTGCGTATTATGTGCTGACGAATATCACACAAAGGTTTCTTCTTCTATAGTTGACAACAGCTCTTTACTTCGTCACCATTTCTTAAACTTTGAGAAAGAAGACATGGGAAGGGGACTTCTGTGATTCTTATATTTATAAAACAAATTAAACACATTCGTAAAGACGACATTCGATAAAAATATTGACCGACTTAATTGGATATATAAATTAAAAAAGTTTTATGGTTACAAATTTTCAAAGGACTAACGGTTTAATGTGTAATATAAAAATAAGGAGATGTGGTATGATTGCCAATGAGAAAAATATCCATCAAAATTCAAATGCAGTGGATGTAAGCAACTAAAGGCAACCGTACGGCCTTCAACATTGAGAAAAAACCAATACCGTATAGTCGACTATATGGCCCGACATGAAAAACAATTCAATTGAGAAAACTAGCGGCCTACCTATTTATAGCAAAACAATTTACGAAAAACAAAATGACAGACATGGACCAACGACAACCACTGTACTACAGGTTCCTGACTTAGGACATGCACATAAAGAATGTGGCGGGGTTAAACATGTTTGTGAGCGCTCAACCCTCACCCTAACCTGAGACAGCGGTGTAATAGCACAACATAAGAACAAACTAAAAAAATCAGTTGAAAAGGGCTTTAATCATCAGATTGATATATATATATATGCCTAAGTGGCCGTGTGGTCTAGCGCGTCGGATACAGTGCAGGCGATTTGGTGTCACGATATCTCAGTAGCATGAGTTCGAATCCCGGCGAGGGAAGAACAAAAAATTTGCGAAAGCAAATTTACAGATCTAACATTGTTGGGCTGATGTTTAGACGAGTTGTATATATATATATATATATATATATTATGTCAGCAGGGTTTAGAACATCTGTTGTTCGACCTGCTAGTCAAATGCGTTTTGTTAAAATATACTTGTTCACTTTTTTGGTCTTTTGGAAAATGTTGTTAGTGCTGTATTTAGACCCCTCTACCAAGAAATTTGTTTTGCATGCACACGTATAAAAGTTGCGGTTTTTATCCAACGCAATCATAGGTTTGAACGTTGTATTCAATTTAGACTTGTTTAATTTTTTTTTCGTTTGGGCTTGTATTATATTTGCCTTCGGGTTTATATAATCCGTTCATCCTATTTCGACTCTTTAAAATTCAAGAGTCAATCCTAAATTGAAGTAAATTATATGGCTTTCCAAATACCATTTCGATTCCTAACATCACTGAAGAGACATTAATTGTCGAAATCCGGATATGGAGTACCAATTTTTGCACCTTATGTTTGCGGTATACCATCTTTCAGTTTATTGTTTTCTGTTTGGTATTAAATTAATAATTAAGATCCATTGTGTTACATCTGGTGATCCCTTTATTTGACAATCGCCATGGCAGTCAGCAGGGTTTAAGAACATCTGTTGTTCGGCCTGCTAATCAAATGCGTTTTGTTAAAATATACTTTTTCACTTTTTTGTTTTTTTGGAAAATGTTGTTTTTGCTGTATTTAGACCCCTCTACCAAGAAATTTGTTTTGCTTGCACACGTATAAAAATTGCAGTTTTTATCCAACGCAATCATAGGTTTGAACGTTGTTTTCAATTTAGACTTGTTTATATAAGTACGTCTGAACCAGTGACAACTCTACGACAGGTTTTATCCATCGGATCACCAGTGATGGTGATACAAGGCTGAAAACACATTCTGTATACATAATTCGTTTAAATAACAGCCCAACAATGTTAGATCTGTAAATTTGCGGAAGCAAATTTTTTTGTTCTTCCCTGGCCGGGATTCGAACTCATGCTACTGAGATATCGTGGCACCAAATCGCATTGCACTATGTCCGACGCGCTAGACCACTCGACCACCTAGGCTCGACAAAAATCAAGCTTTCGGTGGCCGGGTGTTACCTTTCCTCGTCAGTCTTTATCTAGCGTCTTAATACAGTACATGATATATAAGGCATGAAGATGGAATATTACAGATCAGGTAATATACAAAGTAGAAAATCATCTAACAAAAACACAGACCGTGGCAGGAAATTTATACATCCGCCACAACAAAAAAGACATAAAGTACAGATCTGAGAATACTCGCAGCTACTGTCAGCTAGTTCAAAGCCAATAACAACTGATAAAGAATCATGTATCTCAGACTAAAATATCAATCAGTACACATCCAACATCCAATGGATTTAGTGTTAAGACGTCATGAACAGTCAGAGAAAAACATGACCTTGTGCAATGCCAAAATATAGGTATCGACAGATTGTAGAACCGTGAATATATCATAAGGCATAAATTACAGTTTATTTGTAATTTAATGAAAATATATCGCAGGTTGCATTCTTTCCCCAGTAAATAACATCATATTATTTATTACTCGTGTCATGTTTGGAGGCAAATTTCACCGTTAATTTCCGCCCCTTCATTTTCATCGTTAATTTCCTAAAAGACAGTAATGAAGATTTGAAGAGTCTCTTATGGCCTTATGGCCTTTCGGTTTTATTCAATTTCTTAACCGTGAGATTGAAAGGAGTAATGAATACGGGTAGGCTTCATAAGTAAATTTTAAACCGTCCCATCATGAAATATGATGGGTTATGGGAAATTATCTCATGAGCAATCACTTCATAAGTATAAGCAGAGACATAAAATATGTCTCTGGTATAAGATAATAAGTTCACGGGAACATGAGTTTGAATGTCCCTTTGGTATCTTTCGCCCCTCTTTTACAGAAGAGAAAAATTCCATCATAAATCCGGCTTTTTAGAGATCAGTATATGGTTGTTTCATGTTTTTTTCTTACGTCCAGTGGGAAATAGCATATGCATATTCAGGACGTTTCGCCTAAGACCTACAATGACCCTCAGTTGTGCACTGTTGTGTCCTCTCTTTACTAGCCCTCATATTGACTATTTGATTCCACACTCATCTCCTTGGGACCTATTTCCATACCAATTTTTTATATGCAAATGTGATTTTTGAAACAAACCATCAGTGTCATTTGGGCAACCAAAGCAATTCTTATATAGTCATGACATGGCAAGCAAATTATTAACAGCTTAGTTGCGAACGGCTCAGGGATTGATCTTTTTAAAATTAATACTTTGTAATTTGTATGATATAATCATTTCATACAGATTTTGCCTTTCGCGTATGTTTTTTTTACCTTTACGCTTTTGTTATATTTCATCAATTAATTTATATTGATACCTGTAAAAAAAATACCTGTAAGTGAAAATTTGTTTTTCACAATGCATCCCAAATTCCCTCCTTAGACTGTGTAGCTGTTCAAATTGCTAATCGGTTAGCTTGTGCATTTTCTTCATTTAAGGAAAGGGATTAGATTTGCATGAATTTTACCTGAAATAGAGGTACTGTTAATTACCAGAGGGGCGACAACCTGTATTTTACCTGTTTGACATGCGCAACTCAAAAACGATAACAAACTAACAAACTTCCGTCCTGAGAGAAAAATATACAAAATTCAACTTTTTATACTGGATTTCTGAGTATTTTTGATATGTGACTTACAAAAGTATACATTGTGACGGTAAGTAGACACCACACAGAGTCATATACCTTAAAATATAAATTCGAAAGTTGATTTTTCTCTAATGCAGGATTGGGTCATTTTGTGTATTGGTATACGTGTGGATGCATATATATATGAAACATACATAAAATCAGAAGGAAATATGGACTGAATATAGACAGGAAAAGAATTAAAGCCGTTTTTTACTATTATTGTCTTTCCATTCCAAATTCTCCATCATGTTTATATATTTTTTTATTTTATTTTACTTATATTCATTTGTTATTCGTCAGCCGTCTACGTAATGGAAAGTGGGCGGAGCTATAACGGTAAAATTTTTATGCATGATTACCGCTCTAAGTCTGGTTAAAATTTTAACGGTAGTTTGATAAGGTGTAGTGAAAATTTATTCTTCAGGATTAATTAAAACTGTATTAAACCCTATTATATTTTTAAACGTGTTTCCATATAATAAGAAAGGATGTAATTTTTATAATAAAACTTCAAAATGTGATTTTTAATTTGGAATAAAATGAAAATGACGCTAAATGTGAAAAAAGTGAAAATTCTAACCAAATCTTTTGGGAAATATTGGATCAGAGGTGGGTATTAATACAATATGATGTAATTTACATATTAAGAATTATAAAAAATATTGACCATTTTTTATGTGTTAAAACTTTTAATTGATGTGGAAATCCATGCATTTGGGGAAATTAGGTTTTAGATAAAATTATTCTATTTAATGAGTTTACAAACACATTTTTCGTTTGCCATAGCCCCGATCAGACTCTTACCCTGGTAATGGCAATGTTTTTTATGGGGAAAAATGTTACATACAGCCTTCACTCATGAACAAATTCTACATTGTGTTACATTTGTAATAGTCAGTTTCATAATCTTTGCAAGACAAAAATCATAAAATCAAAGTACAATGTGAAGATCATAGGAATGACAGCATTCCTTAGTTTGGCAAAAAAAAAATCCAAAATTAATAAAAGAATGTGACTAAAAATAATCTTGCTACAAAAATGTACACCTCTCTTTCCATAGAGCTGAAGACAGCTTAATCTGAAAATATCTTAACCCTGTACATGAATTACAGTTCAACATGGGTCTTTAATTGTTTCTTTTTTAAGATTTACTAAAGAAAAAGAAAAAATCTCCCGAGACAGGACGCCATGCTCTGTTCCAGCGGATGCATTCCCAAAAAGAATCAAAAACCAAATACACATAAACAATGACTTTTGTTTTATTCAATACAGTTTATTAAAAGGGTAATATCTATTTTCATTGCAGTATAAGAGGCAAACATATTGTGACAAGGTTGTCAAAGGAATTTTTTACTGTGTCAAAATTAAGCTTCAAAATATCCAAAAACACCTGTTTTGACAATGGTTTTGTGTTTTTTTCAATTTTCTATACCTGATTAACAATAATCACTGTCAAATGGTTGTCAGTTAAGATTTTGAGCCCTTACCATACTCTGGCTGTTTTTTGTTCGTTTTGTTTTTGGTTATGAAATGTGAAATGACAATGACCTATTCAGAAATTCAGAAAATAAACTTTTTATTTGATATTTGATATGATTCTTTTACTCGAGGAACAAAATTTTAATGTTAATGTGTATATGCTCCAATCTAATTTTTTCTTTATTTATAAAACTACCCAAAGGTTAAGATTCCCAGAAACCCACACATGAATGAACCAGTAGGTAGAGTTTGAGTACAAATCATTAAAATGCTTACAAATTTTTTTCACAACTTGTTTGTCAACAGGAATGTTTGATCACGCATTTATAATTTCATGTGTAGAGGTACAAAAATGTACATAGCAGCAATAATGGATCATATAGGAATTTTTCATGATGATAACATTTTTGTGGTATTAGTAATTTCACCATTTTCAATCCTTGTGTGTGGTGTAGGTAAACTTAATTGGATATTTGCATGTATTAACTACATGTATTTTACTTCAATGAAGGTCATAATATTATCAGCTTAGGATAAATTTGTACATAATTTAACCTTGTAACTTTACTTTTGGAGATGAACAGTTGGACATGAAAAAATAATGTTTCTCTAATTCATAGTCGATTTATCCTTTTCTTAACCTGTTAATTATTTTTATTTAAACAACTATGGTTCTTTTGATCTCAGTTCATCATTGGTCAAAATTCAATTATCTTGCTTTCCTCTGAATTTCCTATTGTGACCTCACGAAAAAAGGCGATCATGCCTGATGATGTCACATAAAAAGAACACATATTTTTGCAGATATTTGGAAAAGAAGGACTAAATTTGTCTGCAAATCGTCTAAAAAATCATTAGAGAAATAGATTCCACCACAAAATCTAGTGCAATACGATATTTCTCCATTTGCGGCAGTTAAATTTTAAGTATTTTAAAACACTCGCTGAGCCTCACGTTTCAAATTTGAAAATTTAAGTGTCTCGAATAGAGAAATATCGTATCACACTCGATGCAGTGGTAGAATCTATATGTATCTGTGTTTTAGAATATTTATTACATTTTATTATTAACTGCAAAACAGAGCTACATGTAAAATATTACGTTTTTGTACAGATTAATCTGCCATTTGTTATGCAGATTAACATTATGGTAAAAAGCTAGTAAATAAATTCCAGTGACCATTTCCTTCATAAAAGAAGAAAATTCTTGCATTAATTTGTACTTGTCTCCATTGAAAAATTCAATATACATTTAAGATCTTATTAAGTAATAAATATATTTTGTGGATATTTCAAATGAGAGTCTATTGTAAAATTCATTATAATTAAATGAAAGTTAGATCATATTTTAGCAATAACAATTTTTTTTGGAAAAGGGTGAATTTTGATTTAAATTATAGATTTATAATAAAAGGGGGAAAACAAACGTTTATATTTCAAGAAAAAATGTTCTTACGATTGGTCTCGTATCCAGGCACATTTTACTAGCATTGAGAATCAAAATATTTGGAATTAATTTATTTGCATTCTTATTGCCTAATTTAGGCTGCATGATATACTACAGGTATAAAATCATACACTTATTATATGTACAAATTATTTGACCTACAAATATAAAAAGGACATTTCCTTTCATTGTGCAGCAAAGGGGAGATAATAATACTGATTCCAACAATCTGCCCTAGATAAAGGATCGGAATGATTCAATATTGACATTGTCACAGTGCCAGGTATTCACTTTTATCCTGGTCATAAAACACACCTGTATTTGAACACACTTTAATGATTTAACTTCATGAATTTCCCTTCTCCTAAATCAAAAATATTATTTATTGACATTATCAGACAAAGTTTTCCAATTTTGAATTTTTTCCTTGGCCTATATTTTGATTTCCAAAGGTGACCAATATGAATGAATAGTTGAAGCAATAGTTTTGTATGAATTTTCTCTCTGAATTATGATAAATTACATAAAAGTTCAAGATTATATGATTGAATTGGTATCCATGCTTTTATTTTTACCTATAAATATGCTGTGTAAAAATCAAGATTTTATCATTTTAGATAGCGTTTCATTTTTTTTAGAAAAAATGTAATACATTATTTATCTTTTAGTTTAAGAATTATAAGTAACTAACTTAGACTATATTGAAGGTAAAACTATTGTAAACTGCGTATAAATTAAGCCTTGGCCAGTCAATTTTTAAAAGTGCTTCTTCTAAGGATAATATCAAATTGCAATTTGAGATCTTTTAAAAGTTTTGAAAGGGAATACATTTCATATTATTATCAACCACTAAGGGCTAATGATGTCTTATAAAAAGGACATGAATAAATTTGTACTTTCTATCACATATATAGAACTATGGTCAACTTAAGTCTTTACACATTTTTTGTATTTTTTTTTAACCTTGTACTTAAATTATTTGTATTTATATAACCACATCTTAAGGTAAGAATACTTTACAAAGTATTAAAATCATCTCCCATTAAACAAATTGCTTCATCATTAAGACACTCTAATGTCTTCATCCAGCTGTGAATATTTCATATTCAAAGTTTTACTGTTTAAATAGACTCAAAAATGCTGTTTTGAGTTTAATGAAGATTTTAGTAAGAATAAATATTTATTAAATGTAGCTCATTTGTACTTATCTTTTTTATTATTTACACTATATAAGTATGGACGATAACATAACGGTTCCTAAGGTGGATAAGATTTTATGTTTGATTTGGCAAGGAAATTTTGATTAAATTGCTCCTTCGTATCCTGGTATAAACGTTTCTTAACCTCAATTTAGTTATTTTAAAGTAATAATTGTTCACTTATAAGAATTGGGCATAGTTTCAGTAGAAAACCTATAGGTCCATGAAGATTATGCTTCAGAATAGTTTTTTGAGTTCTAAATATGTGGTTTGAAACAGAGTAGATAAAAAAAAATAAGTTTGAAACAGATGATTAAAAAAAAGCAAATGTATGTTGCTTCAGTAACCCTTTGAATCTACAAGTATTAAATGTTAATAAACTGATCAACCAATTTTCATGCAAATAATCAAAGTTCAAAATGTGATATGTATATCAATAGACAGCAAATAATCAGCATTTAAGATTGATTGATTGATTGTTGGTGTTTAAAGCCACTTTCAGCACACTTGGCAGCCAGTTTAATTGGCAGAGGAAGCCAGGTACAAGGAGAGAAACACCAACCTTCGCAGCATTTAAGAACACCCCAAAAATTTGGCATACATGTTCACATAAAGACATTAACGTAACAATGTAAAAGAATGATATAGAAAGAAATTATAAGAAACTTCCTTCTTTATAAGGATTATTTTTTTATGTTGGAAGAAAAGTATATAATATCCTGTAAATACATGTATATTTTGGAAATAACAAATATTTTATATATTGTATTGGAAAAACAGGAAGGTATTTAATTCTATAGGAAAATATGGACCAAGTTTAATTTGAACCCTGAAGCTTTTTGACCTTAAAGTATATTAAAATGAGATAATTTAAAAGTTTTATTGGAGAAGTAATAGTAAATGGTTGTGTAGAGATTCTAAAGAGTATAGGACTAAGTAAACTTTCTTGTATACTTAACTTGTTATATGGTTTCTGTTTTGTACATATCAAATATAAATGTAGTGCTAAGCATCTCTTGAATTTCACCTTTGTTTGAAGGGGAAAATAAAATTATGTTTGTATAATTAATCATATTTGAATGTGAATTGTCAATTTTTGAAGATTTTGTGAGGATTAACAAGTTGATAATAAAACATCCATGGATATCAGTGCCATTAATCTTACTAACTTTGAAATCAAGTTAAGTAGTATGATCTGTAGCAATAAATTGATTGATTGATTGGTGTTTGCTTTACACCGCCTCAGCACAAAAAGGCTATATCGCAGCGAAGTAGCAATAGACAATGTAATTTTAATGTTAAACATTTATTGAACCCTCTGTAAATTCTGCATATTTGATGATTACATATATGCAAAATATATGGACTAAGTTAAGGGGAGTCTGCAATGTTCCATTGGGATTGATAAATTTATGATTTAGAGAAATGTTGTAAGGCAATGAATACTTTAGTATAACTGTATAGTAATTTTTTGTAACATTTTGA